GCCACCGGCCAGGCCGCGCGGGCGAGGGGGAAGGCAACGGCCGCCCGACGCGCTGGGCATGCTGGGAGTTGTAGGCCGTAGCCCCTTCCCCCGAACGAGCTGTGGGTGAAAATTGAAATTCGTTAAAGGTTCAATTTTATTTGATTTAAATAGAAACCATCAGGAGCAGGGGAGAATCAGGCTGGCTTCTTCCTTTTGTGTGAGGAACTTGCCCTCAACTAGGCCCCTTTTACCCTGCACGTGCTTCGTGAGGTAGCAACCTCGAAAAAGTGGGAAAAAAAAAACTTTTTACAAGCAAACAAAGGAAAGTGCAGCTCAGAGAGTGCGGAGGGGGCTAGAAATTAAACGGCTTTTTTTTTTTTTAATTGACTGGATTTTGGCTGGAGCAGTCCCTTGGCATTTCCAGCTTCCATTAAAGATCTTCCTGCAGGAGGGTTGGGGACGGACACCCGGTTCCTCAGGTGCTGCTGCCCCCCAGAGCTGCCCAGCCCTGCCCAAGGCCGGCGCCTGCTCCTCGCTCCGAGGCAGCAGGGAGGCGCAGGAGCCTGCGTGGACACGTAGCCCAGGCCCTTGTCTTCCCATTGTGCTTGCTAAGGCTAAGCAGACACCATTTCCCCCTCCTCCTGCAGCTTTCACACCTCCTCCGGGCCTCCCCGGCACCTGCAGCTGGAGCAGCCTCAGACCCCGCATTGCCCGGCCCAGCTGCCGCCTGCAGCCCCAACCTGTGCAGCCCTTTTGGGGAACAGATGCCACTCGCGGAGCCCCGCGTTGCAGCCCGGCTCGGCAGGCCAGAGCCCTCACCCGGGCCCGCGGCAGGGAGCTCCCCCGCTGCTCCCCGCCGCCCTCTCCGCTCCGGCGCTACATGATTAATTAGCTGATTAACAACATGTTGTTGCAGAAGAATCTGTTCTCTGGACACCAGCTCGGGCGAACACCAGCCTCTGCGCTAATGAAACTCTTCTGTTCCACACAGGCACGCACTAATTTAAGCTACAACATGCAAATGAAGAACAATAGAGTCAATAATTTGGAGCTTTTAAATGAATTAGCTACAGCCATCTCCAGCTCCCGCCTCAAAGGAGGAAAGAAGATAAAAAGGAGCAGTAAAAGCGACAGCCCTGAGGGGGCTGCAGCCATGTGTTACAGGTGAGGGCCAAGGCAGACTCTGCTTCTGGAGTCAGGTGTGATGGTCTGAGCATTGGACCTCACAGAAGATGCAGCACAGCTTCAACGCAGGAATTTTGGCTGTGCACCCGCTCCCCGTTTGCTCCCTCTCCATCCGGGAGCTCCCTCTGCAGCATGGTGATGGGTCTGTATGTCCAGACCCTCGCAGGGTCGAGGCAGAGGTCTGGCAGAGCTGTGTCCTTGCTTCCCCAGCTCCACTTCTATCAGTACTGCAGAGCTCTGCGGGCAGGGAGGGTGTATTTGAGGGTACCTGTGCACCCCTCCAGCTCCAAGACTTTCATTTTTTTTTTCTTCCCTCCTTGCTCTGGATTAGTTTTTCTTCATGGGCTTGAGGCTTTCTTTCCTCAGGGGCCAGAGTATTTGATTAAGTCTAGGCTATAACAGGACAATTGAGTGATGATTTTTTGTTTTTGACCTGCTAATAATCAATACTTAACACCACATGTCAGATAATAAAAATCTCTGCTGCCACCCATGCAATACTAAAGAAGATTGGGGGCAGAAACACAGGCTGCCCCACAGGGCAGCCAGGACTGGACCCATGCAAACACAGTATTTCCAGGTAGGAATAAGGAATACAAAGTAATTCCCCAAAACAGGGGGATTGGGAGCCTTCAGGGCAGCAACGGTGAACTAGTCACAGAACTAGAGCAGCAGCGCCTCCTCACAACCCTGTGCACATCAACACAGTGAGAGCCCAGTGTCGGGAAGCAGGAAGGAGACAGTGCCCCTGGCAAGGCACAATAGCAGCACAAGAGCTCCTCCCTCCACACCCAGGCTTTTAAAAGGATCTTAAAAAACAAAAAAGCACAAAAGAGAGCCACAAAACTGGATTTGCAGCCTACAGAAAGAAGCCTGCAGTAAGAGGCTGAACAAGCACAATCTGTTTAGCTTATGACAAGATTGAGAAGCGTTGTAATTCCAGCACGTAAGCTACCATGATAGGAAATGACAAAGGACTAAAAGCTTTTTAATACAGAAGAAGAAAGAAAAACAGCTATGTTCATAAATACATGTTCTTCACAGTGTGAACCATTTGCTCTGCAGCCCAGAGCTGTTGCGTATCCACTGTGCTCAGCTCCATCCTTGTTTTCTCCAGGGCGCTCTGGCCAACACTAGCAGAAGTAACAAGGTGAAAATGGATGCTTGGGTGAACCCGAAGTAACTGAGCAGCTAAAGGTCCAGCCCTGCCTCAGGTCCAGGGGGTGAGAAGTGGTCCCAGCAAAGGGCTGGCCTCAGCTCTCAGGAGAAAGGGCAGCACAGAGAGGCTGCAGCAGTTTCAGGCAAACAGAAAGAGTTTGTAGGACCTACGGGAAGGATGGCAGGAAGCAAGGCTGGATAGGAACAGTGGGAATTTATCGATGGAGAATTCATTACACACCACTTGCTCTCACACGCGCACACGCCAAACAGGGCCCGCGTGGGGCAACCCAGCGCCCCCCTCCCAGCACGGGAGGAGAGGGTTGGGGCCGTGAGTCTGTAACGCGGCGGGGCGGCTTCCACGGGAGGCTCGAGCAGGCGCCGGCCGCCTCTGGCACAGGAGCCTTCCCCCTTGTCCCCACGCTCCCAGGGCAGCAACGTCTCCGCCGTGCCCGGGCAGGGGCAGACAGGGCGTGCGAGGCTCCTCAGGGGCGACGGTCCTTCGGGCGCTTCCTGCGTCCCGCCTGGGCCCCGCGCTGGGCCCCCTTCACCAGGCCCTTGAACTGGCCCTGCATTTTTGCCTTTTTCCTAGGGGGAGGAAGGAGCACAAGGCTGTGTTATAGCCCAGGCACTGCACACAGGTGGCTGCCGTGCAGCGAACGCACAGGCCTGTCCCCAGCTCTGCAAGGAGCAGCACAGGAGCCAGCAGAGAGTCCCCAGACCCCCAGGGAATTGGGACATAGAGCAGGGCAGAACCCTGGCTTTGGTCCTGTTGCCCTTCTCTGCCCTTCCCAGCTGTACCCACCTTCTGTTGAGTTTGGCCCTGTTCAGGGGGATGTAGGCGTACGGGTCCAGCTGGCCCTTCTTCTTCACGTCGCCTTTGCCTTTCTGTGAGAGACACCAGCATGGGAGAAGATGCAGCACAAAGGGAGTCACCTGAGGCAACGCTGGCACGCAGGCTGTGCTGCAGTGGGGACGTCAGCCGAGCACAGGGCCCTTGGGGCCACATTTCCCCCCCCAGCAACACATCACCAGGCACCCACTGCGAGCAGGCGTTGTGTACAGCAAGGGCAGGACAAGATGGGATGGAAACACTCTGTGGAAACCAGTGTTTGGTGACTCCCCGTGGAGCCGAGATCCCCCGGCTTCGACAGTCCTGCCCCCAGGCCAACAGCAGCCCTGCGCTTGCCCTGCCAGCCCATCCCTGGTGCCTGGAGCACTTGTCCCACCAGAGCCCAAAGCATCCCTCCCCAAAGCCGGGTGACCCCAAGGAGTCATCACCTTGGATCTGTACTCTGTGCCGAAGGCTGGCTCCTTGCCCAGCTGCCGGTGGATCCCAGAGCCTCCGGCTGGAAAACAGGGAATATACAGATCAGGAGATCCCCAGACCAGGACCAGGCTCCCCTTTCCAGCTCCAACACAAGAAAGGGACTGGGGGAGCTGCTCCCTTTTTAGCCTCTACCTCTTAGGTGTGAGCAAAGAAGAGAAGCAGAAAAGTGGTAAATTTTCACATGGGCATAAACCTCAGCGCAAGCTGCTTTGCAGCAACCCAGCGGTAACAGTATGTGGTTTTGGCTGCCCAGAGAGCAGCAGACCAGGCAGCTCACCTCTGTATTGAGGGTAGGCCCCAGACTCCATCTCCTCATCCTCTGGCTCCTCTCTAAACCGACGCTTCTGGCTTTTCTTCTGGAAAAAGCACAAGAGAGGACTCTGCAACTGGCTTGTCCTCACTGTCCTGCCCCACAGACCTGCAATCTCCATCGGGCAGAGTGCCTCCTGCCTCCTCCAAAGGGCACGTAGAGCCCCCCCTGCCCCCACTCTCTGTGCCCATCCCCTGACCCAGGCCATCTTCCTGCATCTTCTCCAAGAAGCTGCTGCTTTCCGGGTGTCCCCACCGGCCTCTTGGTCAGCACTGCATCTGCAGCAGCATGGAGGGGCCCAGCCCAGCCCAGGCCCCCATGCCCTCCCCAGCACAAAGCCCAGACTCACACTGCGAAGGCCGACTTCCTGCAGCACATCTGCCACCTCCTCATCTGCTCCTACAGCACAGGACAGCAGGGTGAGCAGGACGCAGGGACAAGCGCGCTCCCGTACTGCGCCAGCCTCCGCAGCAGGCTGCCTCTACCAAGAGGATGTCCCACAGCACAGACGGTCGTGTCCCCTCCAACCCTTCCGATGGCAGTGGAGACTGTCTCTCCTGGGTGTCAGCAGCCGTGGCAGGGCCTTGTACCTTGTAACACAAGGTCACACCAACCCCTGCTACCTCCACCCCCTTCCCTCAAGCTCCCACATGTTGGTGCGCAAGAAAAAAAAATCAAAAATCAGAGAACCAGAGTAAATGTAGAGTGGCCACCTGCCAGCCGAGGCAGTACCTCTAGCTTCATCATCGTACACCTCCTCTTCCTCCTCTTGGATGATCAGGCGGCCATCCTCAGACACCTGGAAGTCATGGCTCACTCCTCTGGGCTTCTTAGTCCCTGGCTTGGTGGCTGCACATAGAGAGATAGATGAGGGGCTGGGGCAGAGCCCAGCGGCAGGGGAAGGCAGGAGTTGTAGCCCCCGGCCCCAGTGTGTCATGCCGGCTGCCACCCCAGCCACACACAATGCGCTGCTGCTCACCCAGCACCCGCTGGGACACATTGGGGTCCAGGAAGTTGAGGGGCTCATCCTCTTCCCCTTCTTTCAGCCAGGCCTGGCCCCTCTGCCATGACTGATTCTTCCGCTCCTCCTCTTCCTCCTCCTCCTCTGAGTCAGCCAGGACCTCCTCAATGCTGGGCAAGAAGCAGAGAGGATGAGAGAAACAGAACAAGCCCAGGGCCGCAGAGCCCAGGCCCAGGGCCCTGCCTGCTCCTCTGTTCGCGGGAAGCCCCACTCCAGAGCTGTTCCCGCTATGTCTAAAGGCAGCAGCACCAGAGGCGCCGGCAGGGCCCTGCTCCATCACTACCTGTCTCCGCGGGGCGGCAGGGGCGGGGGCCCCCCCCACCCGCTTCAGGGCGCGCTGCTTGCGGCTCCGCGCCTCCGCCTTGCGGATGTTCACCAGCACCTTGTGGTACTCGGCCGGCAGCAGCCCCTGCACCAGCTCGAAGCTGAGGGGGGCACAGAGAGCAATCAGAGCCCAAGCTCCCCCGACACGTGGGACAGCTCCACCTCCTCCCACACGCTTCCCAGGATACTCCTCACTGTCCCCAGTGCTGCTCCAATAAGCTGTGGGGCAGCCCAGGGCCCCTCCAGCACCCTCAACTCACCCAAACTTGCGGATGAACTTGGTGAAGAGGTTGCGCAGCTTCATGCGGAAGTGACGCCTCATGTCGTCCGAAAGGTTCCCCACGGCCTCCAGCTGCCAGGATAGGGAAACCCTCAAGCTCAGAGCTGCCCTGCGCCCTGGGCACCCAGCCTCCCACCCTGCCCCTGCACAGCCTTCTTGACCTTGCTCAGCATCCTCCTGCCACTCGCCTGGGCACAGGCACAGGGAGGACTCCCCTTTGGCAGGGCTGAGCTATGGGCAGGCACTGGCAGATCCATGCCAGCATACAGCAGAAGGGCTTCCTCGCTGCTCTCACAGCCCCTGGGACCAGGGTTGGGCCCTTGGCTCCCAGGCGGAAGCAGGATGTAGCTGGGGATGCCACTGGGGACACCAGTCTCAAGGCAGCCCAAGGCTCTGCTCTGCCACCCCTCTCCGTGCGCCCGCGCTGGGGTCTCACCATCGTCTGCACGTGCTTGGCGAGCAGTTTGACGTCGACCAGCAGCAGCACGACCTTGAGGAAGCCCAGCGCCGCCTTCACCACGTCGCGCGTGCGGGAGCGCAGCAGCAGGCACACGTTCTGCAGGAGCTGCTCCACCACGCTCAGCCCCAGGTGCTCTGCAAGCACAGCTGGGCTCAGCCAGGCCCGGCCTCCTCCCACCGCCCGCCTCGTCCCGCTCCCCAGCACAGCTAACGGCACCAGCAGCGCTGGGCACAGGAGAGGGGCTGCTCCCCACAGCCTGGGCAGCTCTCGGGCAGTGAACCCCAGCGTGGGCAGTGCTGCCCCACATCCCGCTCCCCTGCCCGCACTCACCTTTGAACTCGAAGAACAGGCGGGTGAGGGCCAGCACCGTGCAGCTGATCATGGTGACAGAGCCCGTGAGGCCCGCGTAGATGAGCAGCAGGAACCGCTCCAGGGCCTCTGCAAGAGAGGTGCAGCTCAGCGCGCTGCTCTACCCATGCCAGCAGCCTGGTGCTTTTCCCCATGCCCAGAAACCTCAGCACCAACCCCTAGTCCCAGGGCCCTGCTCCCTGCATTGCGTGGGGTGCTGGACAAGGGTCCGATCTCCCCTGGGACTGAGCAAACACAGCAGGGGCTGCAGAGGTGCTGGGGGCCGCGGCAGCAGCTCACCTGGTGGCGTGGGCCCGAAGCGCACGAAGGCATGGCCCATCTCCACCAGCAGCAGGTAGGCGTTCCTCCGGGCACCCACCGACACCTCCTTGGTGCACAGGATCACCTGGGGGCACAGCTGCCCATCAGCACCACACTGCCACCGCCGCAGCCGCAACGGGGCAGCCCCGCGGCGCGGGCTCACCTCTGGGACCAGGGCGGTGACGAAGGGCTCGTGCTCTGCAGAAAGCTGCTTCACGATGTGGAACAGGCACTTCAGCCGGGGCTGTGCAGAGAAACCGCCGCTGCCGTCAGGTGCAGGGACATGCGCCCGGCTGCTCTTGCAGCCCTCCCCGTCCCCTCCGCGCAGCAACCAGGCTCGGCAGCCCTCGTTCTCACCCTCTTGGCCGGAGAGGCTGCGCTCTTGAGCGAGTCCAGCAGCGCTGCCTGCAGATCCTCCAGGTGCGAGCGGACGAAGGCCTGGCAGGGCGCGTGGGGGGCGGCGCACACCTCCTCCAGCACGCGGTACGCCTTCTTCTGCACGCTGCGCTCCTTGCTCTGCAGGGACACGCGCCGCGCGGCGCTCAGCAGGGCAGCTCCTCAGCGCAGCATCCGCGGGGACCGCGGCAGCAGAGCCCCGTCCCGCAGCTCAGCTCCATGCTGGCAGTGAGCAGGCCCCCGCGGGCACCACCACAGCCCCATCCTGCTCCTCCAGCAGACAAGGACAGCATGGCCTGGTGTGCCCCCAGCCTCATCCTAACCAGCCACATGGTCTGCGTGTGGGCAGGAGGAGCATGACCCATCTCCCACCTCTATGGGGAAGGTGCCCTCCTGCTCCCCTCGCACCTGTGGGGCCAGGAGCCCACTCACCTGCAGGGAGGGCTGGATAGTGCGATACAGAGAGCCCAGGGACTGCTCGTCAGCGTAGGGGGCCATTGCCACAATCAGATCCAGGAGGGAGAGCCTGAAGCACGGAGATGATTAGCAGGGCACTAAGGCTCTCCTGCAATGCTGGGACTCCACCTGTGAGCTGGGTTTGACGCAGGACAGCAGCACTTCCCCAGGGGTCTATACAAGCTCCCTGGTGGTGCCTGGCTGGTGGAAGCCAGGAGCTCTGCCCCTCACCCCAGCCCTAGGGTGTTACCTGGCAAACTCGGAGCTTTCGGAGCTCGTCAGCTTCTCGCTGGCTTTCTGCAGGAACCCACACACCATCTGCGGGACAGGAACACAGTCGGCAGGGCTCCCCATCCTGCCCCTGCACACACACGGGCTCAGGCTGGGAGCTCTGCAGCGCAGCTCCCACCTGCACAGCGACAGGCGCCCTCGCTTCGGTCTCACCTCCCTGGTGCCCACCACCCTACTCCTCTGCCTGGCTCTGCAGCAGGCTCGGTGTCCGAGGGGCCCCCAGGACAGCCCGTGCTCATTTGACTGCCATGCTGCAGCCCCACCTGCAAACTGGCAGCACCGCAGCTCAGGATGCTCAATCCCTGCTGCGGCCCAGGAACAGGCTCAGGATGGGCCGAAGGGAGCACTTTTCCAAGAATACGCAATCCACCCAGGAGCAGCATTGCTACATGCCATGGTGAAGATGCGAATATCAGCGAGTCCAAGTGGGTTGGACAAATTCAATAGGGGTTCACATATGACGCTCCAGGTGCAGCCGCAACCTTGGGAAAGGATGTGGGCAGGAAACAGACTGCTCTCTGCCCGACTTGTTTATTCCCAATTACGAACCCACCAGGCCCATCAGGTTGGGTCTGGCTGGGACACACTGGCCTGAGCAGCACAGCCACCCTCCTCTCCCCAGGCGCCCCTCACCTGTGGCTCTGTGATGGTCAGGTAAGCCCGGACAGTGTCCAGCACAGAGCGGCGCTGTGTGTTGCTGTCCCCGTCCTCCTCAGGCTGGCTGTACACGTTGAAGAGGATGGGCAGGAAATTCTTGGCAAAGCGACCCACTTCTGCCCGTTCTGCATCTAGGGAGAGCACAACGAGCTGTGTGCATCAGCCTGCCAACCTGCAGGTCTCTGCAGAGGACACCCGCAAAGGGAGCCGCTATTGAGCCCCATGCGGGACTCCTCTCTGCCAGGAATCCCCCTGGCACTGCCAGCATCTCCCCCAACCTGTCTCGCAGCCCTTGTGGATGAGGGTGCGCAAGGCCTGGCACACGGTGGAGCGGAGGTCCGGGCGCTCGCTGATGGCCATGCCCAGCGTGCGGGCCAGCCCCTTGAAGGCCACCACCACGTCCGTAGGATGGATGCAGAAGCCGGGCAGCAGGGTCCAGACCTGAAAGCCAAAGGAGGGAATTGGACCTTCCCACTCTGGGCATCACTAACACCCCACAGAAGCATCCTGGGGCCCCTTGTTACCTGCCATTGCAGCGTGTCATAGATCTTGGACTCCAGGCTCTTCCCAGCCTGGGCAAGCTCCACAGCTGCAGAAGAGAAGGGAGAGATGAGCAGAGGTGGCTAAGTGCCACTCTGCCCCAAGAAAGGGACGTCCCAGAGGGCAAGCTGGGGCTCCTCGCAGCCCAGGGGAGTCTGTGGGGCCTCTGCCACCTCACCCCTCCTCACCTCTGCTTCTCAGGGTGGCTGCCAAGGGCAGGAAGTAGCTGGTGAAGAAGTCGAGCCGTGTGTCCTGCACGTAGTCCCGCAGCACGGGCAGCAGCCAGCTGCGGGGGAAATCCAGTGTCTCCCTGGGGAGAGGACACACATGTGAGAGGTGCACGGGGGGCCACCAGCATCAGCCCCGGAACACAGGACACTCTCAGCACCAGAGCTGGGGAGAGGGGGGCTCAGCAGAGTTAAATGCCTCCAGCACAGCATGGGGACCAAACAGGAATGCGACAATGGCTGCAAAACTGCCAGCATGACAGGCAGGGGTTGACAGTCACCTCCCTGTACAAGAACTGGGAGCAAACAGGATAAGAAGGAAAGGAATTGAGAGATTGGCACCCTACCACGGACGCTTTGCGAACCAGTCACTTGCAGCGGTTCACAGAAAGTGCAGATCCCCCTTGTGCACAGAGGGCCCTAAGCTGAGGGCAGCCTGAGGCTGGGGAGGCATCACCCTGCCACACTCCCGCTCTTCACTCCTGCCTGAGCACACGGGACCTTCAGCCAGGGCCACCTGTGTTGGTCTAGGGCAGCCGCAGGCTGGGGCCCAGGAAGCTGGAAAGGCTCCCGCTCTGTGGCAGAGGGAGGCAGGGGCTGCTCAGGGCCCGCGACAGCAGCCAGGGCTGGCGGGGAGCCAGGACTCCCAAGCTCCCTGCTCTGCTGCAGGTGCCCACTCTGCGCAGGTGTGAAGGGTACTAAGGAGAGAACTGCTTCCCAGCTGGAGACAAGTGCCCTGGGCTGGCAGGAGCCGCTCACCCGCGGCGAGGGCGCTGCGTGGCTGTACTCACTCCTTGCCGTCTATCTCCAGGGGCACGGCTTGCAGCAGGACCTCGGGACCCATGGCGCTCACGGCGGCGCCCACAGCCTGCTCCAGCTCCGCGGTGTACGGGAAGTGCGGGGAGAGACGTAGGTCGCACAGGGACTGCAGACACTGCGGGGACAGGGCAGGACAGTCACAACAGTGCACGTCACTCGCTATTCTCACTCAGGGATGCCAGCTGCACTGTGCATCCCTGGGCTGACTGCAAGCCCAGAGTGTCCTAAGGCCACACACGCTCTGCCCATGCCCGGGTGGGATGGCAGGCACTGCAACGGCCCCGCTCTGCTGCTAGAGCCGGTAATGCAGCTCAGACAGCAGAGCAGCCACCTCCTCCGACTCTGCTCCCTGCTCTAAGACACTCGGAACTCAGCCCTCCCAGCCCTGCTCACCTTCTTCATGATGGGATGGCACTGCTTCCCACAGGACTCAAAGAAAATCTCCAGCACCTGCAGCACATCAGCCCACGCTGCATGAAAACGGTACGTCAGGCCATCCTCCACTGCCCTGAGGGAAAAAGAGAGGGAGACAGTGACATTGGCATGGTCCAACACAGTGCTGGCACTGCCCGTGCCAACCAGAACCTGCCAGGAGTGATTAAGGACCAGGCAGAGGCCAGTGAGAGCTCAGCTAGGCCCACGGGGAGTCCTTCCCACACTTCAGCGATCCTCACCTGAACATCTTGCACAGGTAAGAGCCAGGAGCTGAGGCAGAAGCAGAGACGGTGCCCACGTCATTCATGTAGGGAGCAACACAGTCACACAGGAGGTTCTGTGGTAGCCAAGGAAAGGGGAATTAGCAGAGGACTGTGGATACCCCAGGACTGGGCCTAGCCAGGGGCCAGAGAGGCAAGTGCAAGCACAGAGCAGCCCACTGCTCCCATGCAAGCCCCAAAAGCCCAGACGGAGCCCCCTCCAGGAAGGACCAGCTCGGTTGTGCCCCCGCCGAGCAGCCACAGTGGGAGAGGTGCCTGTGAACAGTACCTCAAGGGTCTGTGCGGCTGTCGACACCACCTGGGAGTGCGGGGACAGGAAGCAATTCATGGCGGTAGAGAAGAACCGGGGCAGGTGAGCCCAGCACAGGTCCTTCTGCAACCTAGGGGAGAGTCCAGGCCAGTGGGACACAAAGCCCCCCCTGGCAGCTGCTGCCCAGCAGCAGCCTGTGCCCATACCTGCTCAGGTTGGCGTGTGCCCGCTCCATGGTGGACAGCCAGGTCACCAGCGGCTGCAGGTCATTCACACTGGGCACGTAGTCGTACAGGGCCTGAGCACACAGAGGGTGGATGTGTGTGGTGGCTGCTCCTGCCCCATCCCTCCCCGCTCCAACCCTGTGCTCACTGTGATGATCTGGGCGTTGAGCTCAGCTGGCAGGCAGGCCGAGTTGGCCTCAGCGCTGAAGAGGCTGTAGAAGGCCTGCATGGCACATGCTGTCACCAGCTGCAAAGGAAATGCTGTCAGCATGGCAGGCTTTGGGGCAGATGACGGCTCCTTTGCCCCCTCTGCATCCGTATCCCTATAAAATCTCTGCCCGACCCAGCCCCATGGGAAACCCCGATCCCATCGTGACTGTTCCATGGCCTCCCTCTTCGATGCCAGACAGAGCAGCAGACATCAGCTGCTCCAGGGGCCTCTGCATTTGGTTCCTGTGTTTATAGGCTCCACAACTTCCCAGAGAGCAGCTAAGAGAACCTGAGCCCTTACAGGGCACAGTCAAGAGCTCTGGCACGAGGCCTGCCCCCTTCCCTGCCCGCACAGCTTCGTGCTGGGCACAGGGACACTCACCACGTGGCTGAGGGTCATGACTCTGAGCAAGGTCTCGCAGCAGGTCTTCACCACGGCTGCAGGGAAGCAGGGCAGCAGGTCCCGCAGCAGCGTCAGGACATGCAGGGTGGTGGTGGCCTCCTTGGTGCCTGCGGGAGCAGAGCAGGGCCTGAGCTCACAGCCCCCTGCAGCAACGGCACTGCCCGAGGCAAAGGCTCTGTGATGGACCTGGAGCTGCTCCCACAGACCTGGGGCGCAATGGATAACCCCACAAGGCTTTTAGGAAGGGCAGAACAATGGATAGACGGCTGAAAGCCCTGCAAAACACCTCTGGAGCCTCCGCATGATCCTACACCCTCCACAGCATCAGGAGCCCCTAGCAGAAGGATCTGGGGACCTGCACACTGCCCTGCTCCCAGGTGCCATAATGTCCCCATTCTTGTGTGGTCACAGGATGGTCCACACCTCTCTACAGCTACAAGACCCCTTACTCCAGCGCCTCCTACCTCCAGCCTTCTCAATCTCCCGCACGCAGAACTTGGCAGTGGATGGGGCTGCGGGGTGATGCGGCGGGGCTGCGTCACCAAACATGAACTCGCTGCCTTTCAGGACGCAGCACACGCCGTATTGAGCTGCTTTCCGAACCTGTGGAGGGAACATGCAACTCTGTGCAAAGCACAGACCCTGGAACAGGGCCAGCACCAGAACCGAGCCCAGGGGCAACGTCACCACTCACCCACACAGAGCGGGGTGCTGGGGCTCACCTTGGGCTTGGCATGGACACAGAAGCTGAGCAAGCCGTGATAGACCTGGAGGGTGACGGGGTAGCTCCAAGCTGCTAGGTCCTGCTTTCGCAGCAGGGTGGCCAGGCAGGAAAGGACCTGCGAGGGGAGAGCAGCAGGGATATTAGTGTCTCCCCTTAGGAACCCCAGCCCTCAGAACTGCAACAGCCCCAAGAGGAGCAGGCAGCAGCATCCCATGGCAGCCGGCTGAGCTCCAACTCTCAAGGAGCCACCTGAGCCCAGGCCCCCCAGGCACCTGGACACCGCTGAGCTGGCACTGCTGGCTCACCCTGCGCCTACTCACCCATCGGAGGGCAGAAGTAGAGCCACTGCAGGACTGCGAGGACAGGATACTCATGAAGGCTTTGGAGGTGTCTGAGAACTTTTTCATGAGCACAGGGCTTGGGACACTGTGGAGAGGAGGGGGAGCATCAGTGGAGCACAGACCAAGCTGTTAAGAGCAGCTACACATGGAACCGTGCACGCAGCCTGCCAGGGTCCAGTCCTTCCCCAGAGCAGCATGGGGGGAGATAGTGCCAGGCCCTTTCCCAGAACGGGGACCTGGCCCGGGCAGATTTCCCTGCCCTCTGACTGGGGACTCACCGCTTTAGGACCAGGTTGAGCAGGTAGGACACAGCAGCCAGCGACTCGGGGGACTCCACTGCCTCCAGCGTGGTCATCTGGGAACAGAGAAGGGGTGAGAAAGAGCATCCAGGACGGTCACCACCAGCTGCACAACAGACAGCAAACGCAAGCCAGCTGAGCAGCCCAGCAACCTCTCTGCTCTGGGCAGGTGAAGGGTGACCAGAGCCTTTCATAAATGAGCACAGCATCTTCCACCAGCCCCTCCTGAGTGCACAGGTCACCATGTGCACATCTTAGCTGCCAACAGCGACTCCCTCCACGCCTCCTCACCACGAGCCACTCACCAGTGCTGCAAAGTACTCGGTCTCGCTCTCCTTGCCGCCCCGCGAGCGGATCACCTCTGTCACAGCTGCCAGCACTGCACAGATCTAGGCAAGCGGCAGAAGGAGCGGGTCAGTCCTCTGAGCTGACTGGGCTGTGGGAGAGCCACGTGGGCCATCCCCGCACCCAGCCCTGCTCCTCCCGGTACCTCCTTGTGCGCGGCAGAGTTGGACTCCCAGAAGCGCTGCACCTTGCTGAAGGTGACGTTGGTGCAGTCGCTCAGCCCGCTCAGGAAGGTGCCCGAGGACTTCTCTGTGGCGGCCTCACCGCCCTCCTCCTCCTCCATGCAGAGCTGAGCGCTGTCACTCGCCCGCCCCGTGCGCAAGGACCCCGACTGCAGCTCATTGTGCAGCTTCACCGCATCCACCGTCAGGCTGCTCTTCTCTGCCAGGGAAGGGGACACACTGAGCACCAGGGGGGCAGGCGCCAACGCGGTGAGCCCGGGAAGGGCCAGGAGGCGCCTAGAGCAGCTGCAGACTAGCAAGAGCTCATCCCCCGGCACCGGGACCCTGCCCTGCCCTGGGCAACGCGCCCCGCTCGCCTCGCGCTGCCCCGCTCGCCACCGCGCCCGACCCCCCAGGCCCCTGCTAGGCCCCAGGCCCGGGCCGGGCCCCTCACCCGCGGGCAGGCTGTAGAAGCGGGTGG